GACTCCGTCACAAAAAAAAAAAAAGAAAAAGAAAAAAAAGAGAATTGAGCATTGCCTTCAAGTTGCAAAAGAAGGGGGCACAAGGCTACAGAACCACCAACAAAGTATTAACACCCAAAAGGCATTTAAAGAAAGAGAAGATAGACAAGTGTACAAACAGAAGGGCAGGCAAGAGGCTGCCATCTGTGTGGGAAAAGTTTAAATAGGACTATTCAGATAAACCAAAGCTAGGACAACGCTTCCCAAGACCTACAGAGATTTCTGAAAAATGAGCCATCAAGACAATTGAATGAAGACTGCAGACTCCTCAGGAAGTGAGAAACTCTTGAGGAAAGATGTCTCTACACATTCAGGTCAGTGCTTAAAACAAGGCAGCATATACTTCACCGAGGAGTGCTGCCATATTCCTGATCCCCATGCTGGGGCAGTTGGTGAGGGAACAGCAGGGCCATTATGTTACAGGGACAATTGTATTCTCAGGTGAGAGGGGATAAAAGAGTGAACACTAAGGCTGTCTCCAGAGGTGGAGGGCTAACAGTGAGAAGGTAAAGCTGCTTAGATTTCCCCTGGGGAACTAGATTCTATCAAGGGCTACTCCTGCTTCTCAAGGCAAAGAGCTGGGTCACCACTAAAAGGAAAAATATTGAGGGTCAGCCCCGGATGGGGGCAGTGGCAGAGCAGATCACAGCATTTCCAGCATGTTTGAAAAAAACTGTATTAGGCTGTTTTCACACTGCTGTATAAAAGTTCCCCACAACTGGGTAATTTATAAAGGAGTCTTGTAAGACAGTTCTGCATGGCTGGGGAGGCCTCAGAAAACAAAATCGTGGCAGAGTGAAGCAGGCAGTGTTTTACGGGGCAGCAGGCGAGACAGGGTTTGTGTAGGACGCGAAGCAGGAAGAGCCCCTCATAAAGATCTCATGAGAACTTTCACAAGGACAGCATGGGGGAAACTGCCCCCATGATCCAATCACCTCCCACCTTGTCCCTCCCTCAACATGGGGATACGGATTATGAAGATTACAATTAAAGAGATTTGGGTGGAGAAACAGCCAAACCATACAATTTTGTCAACTAGACCCCAGTGGCACCTGGGACCTTGGGACTGACCAAACTGGTGCTGCAGAAGCTTTTCTGGAGAGTGGATATAAAGTTCTGGGGAAAAGGTAAGTTTGGGGGGAATAAGGAAACTAATTTGAAGAATATTGTAGATCTGGGCAAAGTTGGGCTGGCAGCTGGCTCTAGCAGACTACCCTGTGGTTTGAGGTAATTTCCCTCAGGAGGGCCAACGGGGACTTTGAAGTATTCATGCCTCTTTAAAAACTTAGTATCCTTAAAACACGGAAGGACAATAATTGCAGCAGACCAAGACATTATGGTCCATAGAAAGGTTAAGCCTGGATGGAAACTAGTAAAGTTGTTAACCAACGACCACACTAGAAATGGAGTCTGAGTCATTGAACTTGACAGGTGGATTCCTGGATCGAGAATTTTGGGGAGGGAAGGCTATGTCCCAAATTCACTGCAACTTCATTATTGTGGTTTGTGAGGGTCTGCAAAAGTGACTGAATCTTTGTCACTGGACCTCTTTCACATTAATGTCCCTGTGGGAAAGACCAAGTCTTTTTTTAGAACTCCTGCAATGTCACTGCCAGGTGCTTGTAATTGTCCATGGTAGGCATTGAGTACAAACTTTGGCTAGACACGGTGGCTATCTGTAATACCAGCACTTTGGGGGGCTGAGGTGGGCGGAGTTCGAGACCAGATTGACCAACACGGGGGAACCCCATCTCTACTAAAAACACAAAAAACCAACCAGGCTTGGTGTTGAGTGCTACTCAGGGGGCTGAGGCAGGAAAATCACTTGAACCTGAGAGGCAGGGGTTGCAGTGAGCTGAGATTGCGCCATTGCACTCCAGCCTGGGTGTCAGAGCAAGACTCCAAAAAAAAAAAAAGTAGAAACTCATGAGTAGTTTTTCCAAGATATTTAGAAAAGTTTGTCTTCTGGGCCAGAAGAAATGGTTTAAGATACATGTTGTGGGTAGGAGAAACTGTATTTTCTCTATATCCTGCTTCACTTCTAAAGCCCAACAAAGTTGCATGAAATGGCAGACTTTCAGCTGTTAGCCAGGAACTTGTCAATATGCTCTTGAAACTGTTGTCTATGAATGACTCTAGCCCCCAGTAGTAGAATGAAGAGAAAAATGGCATGGGGATATTTTTTCCCTTTCGCTAACTTAGAAGTTGCTAGGATCTTAGTCTGTTACCTCTATTTGGGAAATAGTTTATCCAATTTCTATGACTACAGACTATAGTTCAAAGACACCATTTCCTCTTCCAAGGTCCAAAACCCATGGAGTTAGACTATAGATCAAATAGTTGGCTCTACCATTTGCTTCAGGGGCATGTTTCTCCAAACTTTTACTTGAGTGCCACTTGAAAACACAATCCAACATGCTTTCCTCTTCCTATCTGCATTTATCTTGGGTTTCCACTCCTTCCTACTAATCGGTCATTTGCATTCACCCCATTACACTGTTCTCCCCCTCTTCCTCTATGCTTTGTAGTTCTACTCACAAAGGGCGTTAACTCCAATACTCTTTAAAGCAGCCCTGCTTTTCAAAATTGAGATTTAACTTGAAAGTCACTAATGCAAACACAAATTCTGCAGTTTTCTACTTTATTTACTTCCTGTCTCCTAACATTTGGAAAGCTTTTGTCTGGTCAGGTACGTCTATGTTCTTTTACTCTGCAGTTTAATTGGCTACATTTTTGCTTTATACCAAGTTCTTTTCAAACACTAAAATTCTACAACAGAGTGCCCCTTCCTAGTGTCAATGAGGTTCCTAAAGGTACTCAGACCATAATCCACATGTTATATGTAACAATTAACAGGTCAATCATTTCTACATAATACATTTACTACTGTCGACTGGTTTTCTGGCCAGGGTACTTTTTCTTGGATGCTTCTAAATTCCTACGAAAGGCATTTTCTTGGTCAATGTGATGTGAACTAGGGTCCAGAAACTGAAACTCCATTTGACATCAGTGTAGCTGAATTCTCCTAATAAATAAAAAGGTCAACTGTCAGTAGGAATGAGTATGTTTTCTGGTTTTCCCCTGAAATAAAATTGGTCAGTCAATGCTGACAGGCCAGGCATATGTTCCTGAGCTGATCTCATTAAATATACACCATTTCTCTATCCTGCAACTACTTCCAAAAGCACATTGTTTCATCAAGGTTATCTCAAAACACTAATCCTTACATATAGTATATCATCTGTTCTGTATTTTCTACATTATATACTGGGTTTTGCTTCCCCTAACATTTGAGTAAAACATACTGCCAAGTTATAGTGGATTTGTATGTTGACACTTCAAGGTTCTCTTATGGCTTAAATGATGGTTACGTCTATTGTACTATTACATTCTTCCCAATCCTAATTTGACACCCGTTCATTTCCTTCCAATTTACCACCTTTGTGTTCCCATTTACATTACTTTCCTTTTCTATTACACCCCGTTTCCTCTGAAAAAGAGGCTTTAAACTACATAATAAGTACTCATCACACAGTCTTTGCAGGTCTCGCATGATCGGGTAATATTAACATCAGAAGTGAAATCTAAGACGAACCCTGTTTTTGAGAATCCCAAATTTAGAATCCATTCCCTCCCGACCACTTTCAGTTAGCTCATCCCACTGAGACAATGGCAAATGATTAAGTGCCCTAGGCAGAGGGCTCCAAAGTTTCCCAATTATACATTATGCAGCATCAGAAAAAAATGTTATTATGGATGTTTTATTCATCTACCTCCTCTCCTGCTTTCTAACCCTGAATGAAAACTGCATTCCTGAATGATTGCAGGACATTTTCTTAGATTTCATGGCATATTAAGAAACTTGTGTTCTGAATTTTATCCCAAATTAAAATGTTACTTTAAAATCTTACTTCCAAACTAGTGTAATCAGACTATCAATCTGAAATCCCTCAATTATTAAATCAGAAATCCCTCAATTATTAACTGTCAGATCTAACCCCTTTACCTGCGCCGCCATGCCTACTATTCTCAATTTCTAGAGTCAACTCAATTCCTACTTTGCAGGGCCCAGGGTTAAGTAATGTCACACCGACTAAAAGCATATCATCTGATAAATGGTCTTTAAAAACACTAGCCCCTTTCCCAAAAAGCCTGTACTTATCTGCATTGGATCAGATTTCAAAAAGCATTTTACCATATGGTATTTCAATCCCGGTCTCTACTTTGCTACAGTTTTGGCCTAGGAACCTAAATGTTAAAGTATTAAATGAGCACACCTGTTGATTATAAAAAACCTAGATTACTGTTGTCTTAAACACATGAGGAAATTTAATCCACAGTAGCCTAAAACCAAGAGTGTGAAACGACTTCCTCATCAACACAAACTAGAGATGTTAGTATTCCAACAATAACCCTACCATATGTATGTGTAGATTTTCAATGTGTGATCATGCTCTACAGCTATCTGCAAAAGTAACTGCGGCTAATTAAAAGTAATGGCAAAAGGCACAATTACTTTTGCACCAACCTAATATTAAGTGCTTTCCACAGCTTCATTCAATATCTGCTTTCCTACAGAATTAAATGTATAGTTGGCCCTCCGTGTTCGTGGGTTTTACACATGCAGATTCAGCCAACTATAGATCGAAAATACTAGTAAAGAAAAAAAAATTAAAAAGTAACAATACAAATAAAAGTAGTTACAACTATTTACATACCATTTACATTTTATCAGGTATTTTAATGTAGAGATGATTTAAAGTATACAGGAGAATATGCATAGGTTACATACAAATACTATGCCATTTTATGTAAGGGACTTGAGCATCTGCAGATTGTGGTATTCACAGCTAAATAGACTGCTCTGTGCGGGGAAAGAGGCCCTACAGTGAAGTGAAAAGTAGACACTTGATTGTGGACTAATTTTTCCAGTATTTCCCAAAAACTTACAGCTAACAACATAATATTAAACATGTTTTATTAGCATCTTATACATCTGACACTCTCTCCTAAGCATCCAGTTTATTTTCTAGTCATGGGTTACTTACTAAAAGTCTATGTAACATGAGCTCACATCAGATCAGAAAACATCAAGTGGGTAGTATTTTTGACTGAATTAACATACAAAAGAAATTGCCTATATCATGTATATGGGCTCCAAGGGTAGTTCATAGTTCAGCCTCTTCATTCTTTTCTGCTTTTGTCACCTGATATAGAAAATGATCTATAAAATCCTTATAAATAAGACATGAGTTTCGCCTGTAATGAGTAGGATGAAAAAAGGCCAGTGCTGCATGCTATGAAACAATAGCAACTTTATAGGGGAATCCAAGGTTTGTGTGCACAAAAATTATAAACGCCATTTTCTGCTGTGCTGGAAAAACTGAAGTTTAAAACACAAATCAATTAAGCCTTTCAAGGATGAGGTATCACAACACTGGTAGCTGTTTAATATATTCATTTTAAGTAAGACTGGATGCTAAAAATACAATAACTGTAATTAATAAAGTTGAGGGAAAACACAAAGATCAGCTAATAGGGGTAAAAGATCATTTAGGGTAAAATAAATGTAACATTCTTTATGTTCTCAATCACCTGGGAAGGCAAGACTGTGGAGTATCAGGAAATAAGAGTTTTCTCGTTTTCAGTAACATGGAGATATACACTTCAGAATTCAGAAGGTAACTGAGGCTATAAATAGTAATTAAAAGAACAAAACAGAAGAAAGCAGGGGGAGTTCCATTGTCCAGCTGTTGCAATTTTCCTGAAATCTTGTTTTTGAGTCTCTCCTATTTAAGGACAAAGCAATTTAGCACACAACAAAAACCTCAAAAGGGTGCCAGTTGGACCACAAAGCACTGAACTTTCATTAGGATGTAAAAGCCATTTTGAAAAACAATCGCTACTGTATGTCAAGTTATTTGACTCCTCAATGCAACATGCAACTCAATGAAATATAATTTGAGTAGTGTCGTGTTGGTATGTATCATGATTATGACTCCAAGAAAAATGTATCTAGTACATTCTAGAGGTTTTGTGGAGGACGCTGTAAAACAAAGTTTGAAGTAAACAATAACAAAATACAAAAATAAAAAACCAGGGTTTTTTTTCTCCAAATTCCTGGTTTAATAAGGACTTGTTTATTTTGAGGAAAAAAGGTCCCAAACATCAGGCTGTTCACAAAAATAACCCACAGTATCAACTTTAGAAAACAAATCTTAAGACTATAACACTAATTATTTTTCTAGAGGATGCATTTGACATGCCAACTCTCATTCACAAAAATACATTGTTACATTTGTGTTGAACTGCCCCACACAGCACACTAATGTGGGGGTGTAACACACATACTTCTAACTCAAAGCTGCTTTCAGAAGCTACTCAACTAAATGAGATTGCCTTTGCAGTTAGGGAAGCAACTACTGAACTTATGTATGAATGAAAAGAACTGTACTCCCTGCATAACAAGAGATTATTTTGGAGACAGTTGATAAAAACCATACATCCTTTTTATTGTTAAGTCATAAAGAGGTATCAAAATTAAAAGCAAAAATTACAGGGTAAGACTTAACAAAACTACTAGGAGCGTCAAAGGAAGTGAAAATGGGACTAGGCGCGGGGCAATATGAATTAATGAACATGGGAAGGACAAGGATGGGGAGAACAGTGAGCATGTGCTGAAGATACTAGGGGAGAGGATCTGGTGAAAAATTTGATCTTAGACAAGCGCCTAGGTAAAGAAATAATGGGATAAGATTTCTAAACCCCACTATGTGCTTAAGAGTCATCCTCGCCATTGGCGCTGTCTCTGTCATCCTCTCCTTCCTCAGCCTCTTTTTCATCATCCTTGATCAACTCCAGCTGTGAGAAACAGACACAAATAGGATGGAGTTAGAGGCACTCCATGTGTCCCTGAGCCCCCCTCCACCACCTTTTTCTTTCCTTTCCCGTGGTTTTCACCTGGTCATCCCCCCGATCTTCATTATCATCATCATCCAGTAGGTCCCCCTCCTCAGCAGAGTCATCTGCACCCCCCTCAGACTCCATCTTCACATTAGTCTCATCTTTCTTCACGGAGCTGCTGCTCTGCTCCTCTTCTGACTTATCGTTCTTCATCTCTACTGGGGATGAGAAGGACAAGTCTGTCTAGGGGCAGTAATGTCCACAGGATGTAGACAATCCCCACTAAGGATCACAGAACTGCAGCACAAATCTAAATCCTCCCACACAAATACCCTTCCCAATTCACACTCCCCAAGTTTCATATTACATTGCTTTATATTCCACTATTCCAACATATACTTTAAAGTGCCTTACGTAACTAACCCAACTATATACCCAACAAGCAGAAAACCCATTTACCTGCTTGTTTGCTCTGTTCCTTTTCAATTTTTTCCAGGTTTTCCAGGAGAGAATCCACTTTTTGTTTTATCTGGGTCAACTCCTTCTTAATGGCCTGAAGGTCATCTCCTTTCACTTTAACATAAACAAAATAATGGATTAAAATCAAATGTACAGAAGATATGAGTTAGCAAATACACTGGCACTAGACTACATCAGGAGCACCCAGGGAGAAACAGAGCCAGTACAGATTTCCCTGTAATAAAGGCCCTTGGTTCTACTATAAAGCTTATAACTACTTACTGTAATTTTTTTTTTTTAAGTATCTTTTAGACTTGGGTTATCGCTACATTGCCCAGTTCTGAGTGCAGTGACTATTCACAGGTATGATCACAGTGAACTCCTGGCCTCATGCAATCCTCCCACCACAGCCTAGATCCCCAGGGTCTTAGCCTCCCCCTAAGCATCTGGGGCTACAGGCGTTAAGTCACTGCATCAGACCTTCTGTTGTTTTACTGCCTTCCATATTTCCAGTTACAGGAGTTCAATACAGAAAAGTTTAAAAATCAATATATTGAACACTATCTGAATTTTAGTTTTTAAATAACCCACAAAAAAACCCTCAGAAACTTAACACACACCTCAACTAAATAAAGTCAAATGACATCTTTCAAATCACCTAGCTGTTGCAGTCTAGAATTGGCCACTCAGTCACAATCTCGTCTCCTCCATTATTTTGGATTTTTAAAATTATTTTTCTTGAGATGGAGTTCGCTCTTATCACCCAGGCTGGAATGCAATGGCACAATCTCGGCTCACTGCAACCTCTGCCTCCTAGGTAAAAGCGATTCTCCTGCCTCAGCCTCCCAATTAGCTAGGATAACATGCATGCACCACCATCCCTGGCTAATTTTTTGTATTTTCAGTAGAGATGGGGTTCCTCCATGTTGGACAGGCTGGTCTCGAACTCCCGACCTCAGGTGATCCGCCTGCTGGGCCTCCCAAAGTGGTGGGATTACAGGCATGAGCCACCACACAGCTGGCCTCTTCCATTATTTTGAATACACAAAGTCATGTGGCACAACAATATTTTAACTGCATTAGCTTCCCTATTTCAAAACACAAGAGATACCAAAACCACAAAATGAAATAATACATACACTTTCCAGACTTGGAAGATCCCCGCTGTCCACTCTTAGAATTGAAGCCACTTTTGCCCCTTCGTGAGGTGTTTCCTGATACACGCTGACGTTTCGAGGGCACTACAGCCCGAGCAATAGGAGGAGGAGGAGGTACACGTGCTGGGTAACTGTACATCCTATTGGATAAAAGGAAAATGGAATTCATTCAAACTTAACATTATCTCAGCACAATTCAACATACCTTATGATAAATAATAAACGAATATTGTCTCTCAGTCATTTCTTTTTATTAAATTTCATTAAGAAGGCCAGCAAAAATCTCCATAGTGGGGTTTAGAAATCTTATCCTATTATTTCTTTACCTAGGCATATAAAATAGTTTTAATATTGCAGCAACTTTTCCTTAAGAAAATCATACATATCAAATTATATGGTTGGCTGGCCTTTAGCACTGGATATAAATGGTTTCTCTGTACTAGTGGAAGTATTAACAGGGCATTTATTATAATGAATAGCCTTTGTTTGGATCTTATTCTTTTCATATATACATTACAAAAAACAATTCAAATACTCTTTTTTTTTTTGAGACGGAGTCTCGCTCTGTCGCCCAGGCTGGAGTGCAGTGGCCGGATCTCAGCTCACTGCAAGCTCCGCCTCCCGGGTTCGGGCCATTCTCCTGTCTCAGCCTCCTGAGTAGCTGGGACTACAGGCGCCCACCACCTCGCCCGGCTAGTTTTTTGTATTTTTTAGTAGAGACGGGGTTTCACCGTGTTAGCCAGGATGGTCTCGATCTCCTGACCTAGTGATCCGCCCGTCTTGGCCTCCCAAAGTGCTGGGATTACAGGCTTGAGCCACCGCGCCCGGCCAATTCAAATACTCTTAAAAAGGTTCCAATTAAAAGGGTATGTAAACAGTGGTATTTAGCATTAGCGAAATCTGATTCTTTTCACCCACAGAAGCACAAAAATTATTACAACTAGTGATAAAAGGTTGAACCACATAAAATTTCAGATCTATAAAATCAGGGCAATTTCATGTAACTGGGAATCATAGCAAAATGTGTTGGCTGGGTATAAATACTACTGATATAAAATCTCATATAAAAACAGGTAGTATTATTTCTAACTAAATTTACACTTAATTCCAACAGGGCAGAGAGACCACTGTCTATCTTGTTCACTATTTACCTGTGTCTAAATTCACTGGCCAGTACACACTTAGCACTCAAATAAATACTGGTTGCTCAACTAACTGATGTTTCTATTAGCAATCTTAATTTCAGGCCAGGCGCGGTGGCTCCAGCCTGTAATCCCAGCACTTTGGGAGGCCCAGGCGGGCGGATCACGAGATCAGGAGATCGAGACCATCCTGGCTAACACAGTGAAACCCCGTCTCTACTAAAAAATACAAAAAACTAGCTGGGCGAGGTGGCAGGCACCTGTAGTCCCAGCTACTCGGGAGGCTGAGGCAGGAGAATAGCGTGAACCCAGGGGGCGGAACTTGCAGTGAGCTGAGATCCGGCCACTGCACTCCAGCCTGGGTAACAGAGCGAGACTCCGTCTCAAAAAAAAAAAAAGAAATCTTAATTTCAAATGTCTCATAATAATAAATTTAGTATCCCAGTGATTGATAAAGATACTCCAAAGCAGTAGCTTGGTACACTAACATTTGTAAAGAGAAAATTCAAAACAGAACAAATACTTCTTACATGGACATCAGTTCTAAACTTTATACATTCCACATTGTCATTTCCATTGTGGCAACATATGAAAAAGTCCTTTAATTCTACAAGCTTTTTTAAAATGCAACTAACTTAATGCAAAGCCCCAGGTACTCTATAAAAATACACCTACCAACTGCTCTGCCTAACTCCAAAGATTTCTTAAAAAATAAATGTGATGTAATCAAGAACTTTAAAAATTTTATTAATCATCTTTGTCATGATACTCCCTCTTATACATATACAATGGTGGCAAGTTATTCTGAGTTGTAGTATCTCCAATCTTCCTGTAGTGAAAACATTTACAAGATCTCATTGCTAATTCTCTACCCTGTTAACCTAAAGTGTTTTCCACGCTAGATCAACAAAGTAATGTTTAATCTTGTCCCAAGAGTGGCTATGGACAGGAACATTTTCCTAAATTAAAAAAGAGCAAGGAAAGCTGAGGTGGGAAGACTGGTTGAGCCCAGGAGATGAGAGAATACCATGACTGCACCACTGCACTTGAACCTGGGAACAGAGCAATACTGCCTCAAAAGAAAAAAAAAAAAAAGTTGGCATTTCCCCTAAGTATGGTTAATCTGTTAGTTTAATCCATTCATGGGAATTAAAGCAAAAAAAAAAAAACCAAACTAACTTTTTATTATCACTACTACTTTCCCATTTTGTCAAACTTTTGCTCTTTTTGACCAAAATATTTCAAAGTATTATACAGAAACTATAAAATATCAGTGTTCAGAAACTGATACCCTTTGTGTGAGATAACACTTGCACAAATTGCATAATAACAATTTCTGGAGGTAAATCAAAATGAGTTATCCGTATCCATGAGCATTAAACTGAGCTTAAGCCCCAGTCCAATGGATATATCTAATCTACCTCCTAAGCCACTAACCTTCACCGGCACCTGCATCTAAACCAACGAGCTAGCTACCTAGTTCCCTACTGTCACTGGAATTTCCTTTTAAAACCTACTATTTCATCTGACCATAACCAAAATGAAGCAAGTAATACAATTTTGTTTTGAATCTATGTAACAGTCCCATGAACACAATCAGGAGTCAAATTCTCTACTTTTCTGAAGAAAAATATTTCACACTATTTCAGCCAGTAGGGCTTAAAGGGCTTTTAGTTACACAGAATGCTGCTCAGGCAGAAATGGACTCTCATTCACATTTGAGGAAGTAGTCCTTGCCTCGAAAAATGTTGAGGATAAGTGTGAAAATACAAAAAAAAAACATACATAGTGTGACAACCTTTAAGTTAAAAGGGATATATATTAAGAAGCTCAGTATGACTACTTCAAGCACCAGCTAAAAATTAACTAGAAATTCTCACTGAGAAAGCTATAAAATAGGCAACAATAGCTGCTGATTATTTACTGATTAAGCCTAGGCTGTTTAAAATCTTTTACCAGGGGAAAAAGAATTAACTCTAGGAGAATTATAACTGTACCCATAATCAAACTCGATGGTTAAGTGTTGGTATAAAATCAAGTCAGATTAAAAGTAATTAACTACCTCTTCAAAGAAATTAAAACACTCTAGAGACATTAATTACCTGAACAGATTAAGACAAAACACAGCCGGGCGCAGTGGCTCAAGCCTGTAATCCCAGCAATTTGGGAGGCGGAGATGGGCGGATCACGAGGTCAGGAGATGGGAGACCATCCTGGCTAACACTGTGAAACACCGTCTCTACTAAAAAATACAAAAAAACTAGCCGGGCGAGGTGGCGGGCGCCTGTAGTCCCAGCTACTTGGGAGGCTGGCGGAGCTTCCAGTGAGCTGAGATCTGGCCAATGCACTCCAGCCTGGGCAACAGAGCAAACTCCACCTCAAAAAACAAAACAAAACAAAAAAGACAAAACACACCAGCCAGGCATGGAAACTCATGCCTGTAACCCCAACATTTTGGGAGGTGGAGGCAGGCAGATCATGAGGCCAGGAGTTCAAGAAACGCCTGAACAACATGGTGAAATCCCATCTCTACTAAAAATACCAAAATTAGCTGGGCATGCTGGCATACACCTGTAATTCCAGCTACTCAGGAGGGCTCAGGCAGGAGAACTGCTTGAACCCAGAAGGCAGAGGTTGCAGTAAGCTGAGATCATGTCATTGCACTCCAGCCTCAGTGACAGAGCAAGACTCCGTCTTTTAAAAAAAGAAGAAAGAAAAAAAAAGACAAAACACACCAGCTGGATGCAGTGGCACACCTGTAATCTCAGCTACTCAGGAGGCTTGAACAGAGGAAGGAAGCAGCGGGGGTTGCAGAGAGCCACTGTGCTCCAGCCTGGGAGACAGAGTAAAAGCTTTTATCTCCCCTACCACAAAAAAAAAAGACAAAGAATGTCTACCCCAATCTCCAAATGTAAAAGCATTACAAGACACGTACTAAGAAAAGGTTTTCAAAGGGAAGATTCTTAAATCGAAATTCTGACTGTAAGACATTAGCTGCAACACAGTGACATTTCCTGGGCCTCAAAAACCTGACTAATAAGACATGTCAACACTATACCAGAGTAGAAAAAATTAGAAGTTAATCTATTAATAAAGCTATCATTTGGTGCATGGACTTACTTAATGGACCACAGCTGGTTCTCATCTTAAAAATGTCAACAGATTTTGCCAGACAGGGTGGCTCACACCTGTAATCCCAGCACTTTGGGAGGCTAAGGTGGGCTGCTCATTTGAGGCCAGGAGATGGAGACAGCCTGACCAACATGGTGAAACCCAGTGTCTACTAAAAAATACAAAAACAGCCAGGTGTGGTGGCACACTCCTGTAATCTCAGGTACTGAGGGGGCTGAGGGACAAGAATCGCTTGAACCTAAGAGGTGGAGGTCGTATGTCAAGATCGCACCACTGCACTCCAGCATGGATCACAGGGTAAGACTCTGTCTCAAAACAAAAATTAAGAGAACCAAAGAAGCCGTTTTTATAAACTACCAATTGATGATAGACATCTTGCCTCAAACTCTTAACTATGTGGATAAAAAGAAAAACCGATATGAAAGTTTAATATAGGTTTACATTACAATTTAAATAACAATATGTCAAACTGTGACCAAGAATAAAATCTATTCATAATGTAGTTGGAATTCTTGCTTTTGTGCTTAAAAATAGAATCAACCAGCAAAATTTCTGTGCCTTGTGTTTTTTTGTTGTTTTTTTTTTTTTTGTTTTTTTTTTTTTGAGACGGAGTCTCGCTGTGTCTCCCAGGCTGGAATGCAGTGGCGTGATCTCGGCTCACTGCAAGCTCCGCCTCCCGGGTTCACGCCATTCTCCCGCCTCAGCCTCCCAAGTAGCTGAGACTACAGGCGCCCGCCACCACGCCCGGCTAGTTTTTTGTATTTTTAGTAGAGACGGGGTTTCACCATGTTAGCCAGGATAGTCTCGATCTCCTGACCTCGTGATCCACCCGCCTCGGCCTCCCAAAGTGCTGGGATTACAGGCTT